GTTCAGCCACTCAGGGTGTGCTTTTGGTGAAAGTGGAGGTGAAAGTTGTGGTGGCCTGCCAAGGCAGCTGTGGCAGTGATGGTGAGGGAGAGTTCAACAGGCAGCGCAGGCTCCCTCCCCAAGCTGTTCTCTGACCACGGCTTGGTGGCAGGCTGGGCAGCAGACTGGAACAGGGGTACAAAATCTGGGAGTGGATGGAGGGTTAGGCCCTGCTGGAGGCTTCAGGCCATCTTGGATCAGTTGGGGCAAACAGCTATGGGGTGGCAGGCTGGGTTGAGCAGGTGTGTTACGTAGGCTGAGGCTGGCAGTGAGGCTGCTTCTGTAGCTTTTCCCAGTTTGGCTCCAATGTGCCTTCTGTATATGGAGGCATGTGGGGCAGGTCTACTTGGTGGCAGTGGCATGTATCTCTAGACTGCTGTTGTTGTGGGGTCAAACTGCCCTACGTGCCTGTTTTCAGGAGGCATATTGGAGCTGAACCAGGAAGAGCTGCAGCAGAAGTGGTGTGTCTGCCTGCATAAGGTAATGCACATAGGTGTGGCTTTCTTCTGCAGCCCCTTGCTTTTCAGTTCAGCTCCAGTGTGCCTCCTGAAAAAAAGGAATATGGGGCAGTTCCACTCGCGCTGCGTGCCTCTGTTTCCAGGAGAGACTCTGCAGGGTTGGACCAGAAAGGGCTACGGCAAGAGTGCGTGTACTCCTGCCACATCCACTTCCCAATCTGGCTGTGGAGGAGGTGCATGGTACAGTTCCACCTGGCCATGTCAGCAGTGGCAGTGTGGTGAATATAATATAATTAATCAATTAAGAACATGTTATAATAATGATAATGCTTATGTTATAATATATGATGTTCATTTTTTAAATAGAGTGCCTACTGTGTTAGCTGCTATGGTTTTTAAATAGAGTGCTGTTGAATTTTGAAAAGCTTTGAAAGGGTGCCTTGAGTTTAGAAAAGTGGAGAACCACCAGTTTAGACTAAAGCACTGTTTTTCAACCTGTGGGCCACAACCCAAAAGTGGGTTGCAAGATTATTTGAGAAGGTTGTGTACAATCACAGAAAAACATCACAAAAAGTTTGGGTTTCCCGTTGTAGGTTGGCAGCGTTCCAGCTTGCAAGGGGCTGCTTAGGGCTGAGGGAGTGAGATGCAGGGGGCACCAGATGCATGTGTTCACCCATGCATGTGGCAGCCAGGCAGGGTGGAGAGCAGCTCCCTGCAGGTAGGTCCGTAGGGCAGGGAGGGGCACAGACGCATAGTGGGGGGTGCGAAGGACACAGGTGATGTGCCAAGGAGTGAGGGGGCACATACCCCACCACAGATTTGTGCAGGCATGGGTCTGCAGCCTGGCTGGACCAGCATGGGTAGGAGCTGCCTCTGTAGCCCAGTGGGTGGGGTGGAGCAGGGTAGTGAGACTGGTTGCTGGCAGCTGGGCCATGGCGGCAGGGTAGAGCTGCAGCCCAACATGTAAGCGGCTGGCCATGGAAGGAGATGAGGGCAGCGTGGCCCCCTCCCCCGCAGCTGTTACTCCTTGTGCTGCTGGTGGCACAGCTGGCATGGGGTTCATGGTGGTGGCAGCAACTAGTCTCGCTGCCCTACTCCACCCTCCTGCACTGGGATCCACCTGCTAGGCTGTGGAGGTGACTCCTGTCTGCATTGGTCCAGCCAGGCTGCAGTCCTGTACCCACACAAATTGGGGGGCACATGCCTCCCCATGCTTCACACCCACCCACCTCCAAGACCACACACTGGGAGGCTGGGGGCAGAGGGCAGCGGCCTGTGAGTGGAGGGCACAAGCAGGGCTAGAGGGTGGGGGGCTGTGGGTCTGGAGTGAGGGGCATTGTCAGGGCCAGGGGGCTGTGGGTTGGTACTGGCCGTTGATGTTTACAGATGGGTCCTGGTACTAAAAAGGTTGAGAACCGCTGGACTAAAGCACATATTTCACCAGATATTGAACTCGCCTCAAGTACCAAGAGCTAAGAGAAGCTTTTCAACTTCATGGCAACCGCTGCTCCATGCTCCTATCATGACTAGGGAACAACATCCCACCTTTGAGGCTAGTTTCTCACTGGATCTTGCAACACAGTGGGTGCACCTACACATGGATATTAATGGGAAGCAATAAACTCCAGTGTGAGTGTATTGCTCCTTGGTGCTGCATTTACATATGCTCCTGGTAGTGCTGGGTTGGAGCAGCCGCAACTGGCAGAGGGCCAAGGGGGTCAGCCTGCCAGCCCAGGGCTGCTCCAGCCAGGGTCAGCATGCTACAAAGAAGCTGGGTGGGGTATGCGGGTGCTTCAGTGCAGGACTAGCTGGCAGGTAGCCCCCTCACTGAAGCTGCCTCCTGCCACAGCCAGCCCAGACAGTGTCTACATGTGCACTGCTGTACATGAAAGCTCTGCAGTAGGA